TAAAAACAAAAATAAAGTGATGTTTGGAATCAGTGTTAACAATTGCATCAGACGATGTGCCTTTGAAATTTCTTAGAGAAATGAAAAATTTCGAGAATTTTTCGATTATTCAGTTCGGTTTCCAAGCAAATTTTGACAAAACTTTTCACTTCTAAAAACAACTTCAAAGGCACATCATCTGATGCCGTTTTGACCACTGATTCCAAACATCACTTCATTTTTGTTTTTAAGTGACGTTTTGACCACTAAAATCTCAAAAAACTGAAAAGTCGCGGTTTGGTCGGCCATCTTGTTTTCAAGTTTTTGAGCTTTTCCACCATGTTTAAAATAAAGTTTTTGAGCTCAGTTTGTGGGAGATTAGAGCGTGCCAAGACCGATCCGGTGAAAATGGTTTCGAGCGAATTAAACATCACTTGAAGCCTCCCCACCCGCTCGGATCAGAAGCCTATCTCAGCCCAGCTAGGTCTGATCTGAACCAGACTTTCATCGAATGTTGACCATGTGAAAGTGTGGTAACGAAATGTTTTTTTTGCCGCCACTTGCAACTGTTTGTGGGAGGGTGCCACAACAAGAGCCAAATGTAGGCGTCTGTGACGTGCAAAAATTCTCATTCCAGGTAAATGATAGAAAGCTGGGGCTAATTTTGTTTTGCATTAAACACCTATGGCTAGGAGTTGACATAGTCCGATTTTTGAATTTCCTACTTACTGATTTCTGGTGCTTAATAGAACTTTAAAATCCGAAAATCCTCATTTCTACAAAAAATGGAAGCATAATTTAAAAATCGGACTCTGTCAAGTCCTAGCTATAGGTGTTATCTACAAATCAAAAAGAAAATTTTCTTACTCTGATGTATGGTTACCGAGAATTCCTGTACATGGCAAAAGCCCTGCAGCTAAAAGACAGCCTTGAGAAAAAGGCAAAATAAGTTTGGATTCTGTTAAATGCGTTTTACTCAGAAACTATTAAAGCGTTAGATAATTTGTTGATACTTTGCTATAGGTTATCAGCCATGACGTATCTAATGAACATGTGCAGTCCAGGAGGGCGCTTACAAAATGCAAGTACAAAAAAGTCATTTTTTTGTTATAGGGTTTCTGGAAAACTCGCTCAAAACCTAACCTATCGGCACAAAAATTATCACACTTTGGGCTATCCAACCATGTGCTTTTCTCAAAATTGATATTTTTGACAAAAATCGGCATTTACCCGGGGCGGCGGCGGGCTTAAGTGATATTTACAATATGGCACAGGAAACCGTCTTGAAGTTTTTAGTCGACTACTGCTAATCACCAAATACTGAATTGTGAAACGCACATAGCGAGATTGGGCTTCCAAAGACCAATCGAATGGTGTATAGCAAGTTTAGATCGTATCACTTTTTGATGAAGATATTAGTAGTTTTAGGGTACTTTGAGTCATAGAAAGAAATGGAACATTTTGACAATAAACTCCAATTTTTTCACAATCGCTGCTACAGTATAAGCTTAAAATTGGCGGTATGTTCACTATTACATGAGAAGAATTATTAAAAACATTTCCAAAGACGTAACGAAAAACATTTTTGAAAAAGAGCAGTGTCGTTTTTTCTTGAAAAGAATGATATTAATAGCTTTCCGGCTTTTCTTAAAAGAGTAGTCAGTCGTCCATCTTTTGCACATTTTGGACAACGTTCACTCGAAATATTTGCTGCTTATAAGGCAAGTTAGGTAGCAGGACAAAAACCAGTCAAAGTCTGTAAAGTCTTAGTTTGAACCAAACCGCCTAGAAACCAATAATGTATTTTAACCCTATTTATATTTGGGAAGAGGAACATTTCTGCTGCAAATCGCTTTAAATAAATTGGACATGAACTTAATGCATTCAACAACGTACAACGGCAATGGAAATCACTTAGTAGTTAAACTCTCTTTCCTGTTACACTTAATGAAAGCTTTATTTTAAGGGACAGATAAAAAGAACAAGTACCAGATTCAAAAAGTCATCGAATGAGGGTGAAGGAACTGTTGAGGAGTGGAGCAGAGAGACTCACGGCATTCTAAATCAAAATTCGAAGATTCTACCCGATTCAGTAAACCTAGAGATTCACTTCAGATCGAAAAGGACAGAGTAGATTGAATTCATTCGAATTGCAGTGAGTTCCTAATACAAATGAGAGAAGGTCCCCAAGTGACCGGAAACTTGTGCTTTTCTTATAAATTCTATAACTTTGCAAAGAAAGGTCGTGTAGAGCTTGGGGATGTTTCATTCTAGTCAGAAATGTACAGTTACAGTCAGGCCTTATTAAGAAAGATTTTGGTTATCTTTTAGAGTTTCTGAAAAACTGGTTTTCCAAAAACCGGGATCTCTAGAGATCTATTGGTCCACCATTGTGATATTCGGAATCAGGACACTCGATAACCTATTGTCCACTAAGTTTCCGGTCAAAATGGATTTCCTACTTTGGGACCTTCCCCTGTGAGCTTTGTTCAGTTAGTTTATGTCAAGTGAAAAAAGACTTTTACTATCGATATTCAGAACTTTAAAATAATGAACTCCATTTTTTTCCAGTATACTGGGAAAAAGAAAACTTGACAGCTGTCTTATGTTTTTTGAAAAACTGTGATCAACGTTCTATATTTTTTCGTTATAGTTGACTACGAATTAGATCCAACAGTTAATGAACTCTCAATATTAAAAGTTATTTTTTTACATAATAATATTCAAGAATTAAATTTAAATGAATTATTTGATAATCAAGATAAACAATTGAAATATTCTAACAATTTATCTGATTGTAATCAATTTATACAAGCCAATACTGGTGGAAAAACTATTCTTATTTTATCCGAAAATTTTATGTTACCTGACATACTGACACAATTTGAAGGGAACGAACAGATAAGTTCTATTTATTTTTACATTGAAGATAATCATCTTAAAAAAGCAGATTTTTTTAAAGGCGTAGCACAAAAGTATCCAAAAATAAAAGAAGTTTATTCAAAAGAAAACAATCTTGAATTTCGTTTAATCGGAGACTTTTTAACATTTTATCGACAAAAAGCAAATGATCTTGTTTTAAAAAATCGTTATAGTCTGGCTGAATATTATTATCAAAAGGCAGAAAAATATATCGTATTACTTGAAAGAAAACTAAATTTAATTGGAGAGGTAGATACTTAAACTTGTTATTTAACTACGATTGAGAGCGAATTCATCCTGGATCTTAATGTATCTTCAGCATTTTGTCTGGTTATTGATATTATTTTTTATTTGTATTGTGTATCAACCAAAAATAAAATTATTTACAACAAATTAGGCTTTCTGCTTTTTTTGCGATCTGTTGTTTTTTCAAGACACGTATAAGCTAAAGTGTTCATTCTGAGTAAAAACTGAAACGAGACGAAGAAAAGTGATGAAAAAATGAAGCTAAAATCACGTAAAATATTCCGTATTGTCCAGGGGTAAAAAGATTGGCAAAAAGAACCGTTAAAGGTTTCAAAACCAACGCTTTTTTATTGTCTTTTAAACGCGTTTTTTGTATCTGTTCATTTGAAAACGCGTTTTTCGGAATTTCACAACGCGTTAGAGAATGCGTTTTTCGATGAATGTGAACGACAATGAAAACGTTAATTAACGCGTTTTGAAATGATTCAAAAATAAAAACAGAGGACAGATACGTAGGTTTGAACCATCAACTTTTGTCCCACCATTCTTCCGCTTTTCCCATTCAGCCATATCCTCTTAACATAACATTAGCTGACAACGAACTAATGGAGAGCAGTAAAATGAGTACTTAACGAAAAATTTCAATTTCCAGAACAAATTGTTAGAAACGGTACGAAAAACACGTTTTTTCCGAACGCGTTAGCGAACGATCGTTTAAACGCGTTTTTTGTCGTTCAAAACTCTCGAATAACGCGTTTGCTAAAGATCGTTGAGTTAACGGTTTTCTGACGTTTTTATTAAACGCGTTCCTAACGACGATCGTCCCAGTAACGGTCGTTGCTAAAGACGTTAAAATGATATAACTTCGAATTTTTTTCTTGTTTTAAACGCATCTGAACGACCATTTTAACGTCGTTAGCAAACACGTTGTCAAAGAACGCGTTATTCTAAAATTGTGGACGACAAAAAACGCGTTTAAAAGGCTCTTTTAACGATCGTTCGCTAACGCGCTTTTTGTGCCGTTTCTAACATTTTATTTTCGCCTGGGTCTGAATAAAGAAGAGCTTCCACATACCCAAGATATTGGTGCTCAAGCAAAAACGACCCAATTTTTTGGGTTATTTATCTAGATTCAACTTCACGTGAGCACGTGAAGCTGAATCTAGATAAATAACCCAAAAAATTGGGTCGTTTTTGCTTGGATGTCTAGGAAGAGAAAATGATGAAATATTGTTCAGATCGT